CTACAGCGTTTATGGAGAGCTGGCACAATTTGCAGCTTCTGTTATGTGTTAGAATACTGCTTTGAGCGTCCGCGCGGCACCCCCCCCCCCTTTCGGCGGCATAACGTCTTCTACCCATTCCCTTGCAGAGACACATCAACTTCTATAGTTCAACATTTTTACGCTGAAATGGAGCAGCATGAGCGAAAGTGGGCAGCATCCAAGAAAGCAGGAACATAATGGGAGTACAAAAAATCATTTTTAGTGCCCCGAGCCCAGTCACTGCATACGCGCATTCCGCAACCCTAAATTAATGAAAGTGAGGAGATGAAGATGAGTTGCAGTCAAAATATGAAATAAGAAAGTGTTTTTCATAGAAAATTTGAAAGCAAGGTGATTTCCCCGCTTGATCCCCTCTTGTGCATAAGAGGGTTCAATTCCACTCCCCACAGGGGATCCCTTGTCCGATATTGTCTTTGTGCATACGGGGGTTGGCGCGGGGAGGGGAGGGGATCCCCAGCGGGGATCATTTCAATGGTTAAGCGCACATCCCCTCCCCGCGGGGATGTACGTGCATACGGGCCTTAGAGATGACTTATCGATGCAAAATATCTGTGCGCCACGCCTTGCCCCAAAAATGTTTTGAAACGGAAAAAAACATGTTTAAACATTATAGAAAAAATTGGAAAAAATGCGACTACCATTTCTAACGGAGGTAGAGAAGTCGTTATTCAGATTTCAGGCTACGGTAAAGCTGGGGTCTGCAATTTTGCACGCATACATCTGGTCCGTGCCTGACTATGCCATAATTTTTTCAGAATTTTAACATCATTTCTAGAGTGATTTTTGAAAAACTCGATTCAAGACCACGCCATATCTCGAGAATGGGAGGAGCTAAGGGGGCGCGGATATGACCAAAAAATTTTCCAAGTCAAACTGGTCCGGGGGGAAATTGGCCCGGGGCAGGAGTTGATAGTGGGCGGAGTACGGCGGGTAAAGAGTCCTTGGTGAGCCTATTCAATTTTCCATCGTGTCTCACCCAATAAATAAGAGACTTTGTAATATATTGTATCGGCATGCAATATATTGCACAGCCTATAATGGTGAATTTTTGCTGGTCAACGTGAGCACATTGGGAGTGAAAAAGTGACTTATTAGCATGTAAGTGACGGAAAATTTCGAATTTTTTTTTTTGAATCGGAAAGAACTGGGGAATGCTGAGAGAATAAGGAAGAGGTTATGACCTTAAATGAGGTAATTGAGGTCTTTCAAAAAATGATTAAAATGGATTTTGAGGTTTTAAAGGCTTGTATATTCTTAGAATCTAAAAAATTTTGGGTTCTTTTGAGAAAATTTAGAATAATAGATGAGCGTCGGGGAGATAAGGTAAAAGGATTTAAGAGTTATTGAGTCTTAATCAAGGTATATAAAGTTGTTTGAAAATATTAGGTTGTCCCGAAAGTTTTGTCGGTTTTTTTCATCGCTTACTAAAACTCCCAGAACACCAATACCTAAACATCTAGGTACTATTTGATTCAGATTTTCATCCTCTTTCTTACAGCTATGTTTGCTCTCTGATTTACCCAGTCTTTGCAATGTTATCGTCATGGCTTTTTGATTAGCTCAACAGCAATGCCAAACTTTTCCTAAATTTTAGAAATTTTTATCCTTATGTTTTGAAAGAGCGCTGGTACCTTTATGTAGAGCAAACCTTTGACTACATTTTACCTAGTTTAGATTACGTGGGTCACTTTTATTAGTCTGTAATAGTTAACTATTTAAGAAAAACCGCAACTTTTTGATTCCTTTAACACGTAAAAGTACCGAAAATTCCAAAAAGCTGATTTCCCAAAGCAAATCAAACTTGGATAGGTTGCATAAATAATGCTCAATAACAAAGAAATTTCAATTCGCTAAAATTTCGAAACTTTTCATGTTTTTGCTGCAGTTGCCTGTTACATGACATTGCCGAAAATCGAGACCTTCAAAGAAATTATTTTTTTAGAACTAACAAGGGACGGATACTCGATGACTGTGGCCGTTAGGAATGAGGTGTATACCGTAAGATGCATCTCGAAATGTTGATTCTGAATTTGTGCTCGATATCTGCGAAACGATCGTCTGAAGGAAGTTATGAACTTTTTAGTAGGAAATAAGCATACTTTTGAATATTAAGAATTACCAAATTCGTCCTAGGTTACCGTTTGAAGCTGTTGAAGGGAATCTTCAGAGGAATACTGTTGTATTATACCCATTAAATCATACTCAGCATTTGAGAAGAAAAGAAAATTTTTTGTTGATGGCTTTGATTTTCAGCAGTTTGTTCATGAAAAAATAATTATAACTCCATCCAGATTGTCGTTTCGCAGATATGGAAAAAACTATTCGAACCACCATTAAAAGGCGCATCTTTTAATATATATATATATCATTAAGAATGGCCACGGTCAACAAGTATCCTTTCCTTGTAAGCCAGCAGATTAGGAGAATCTAAAAATATTACCGTACTAGTTGACTTGCCCGGCTCCGCCCGGCCCTGTCATTATTATATTCGTAATCAGCATGCTCGATTACCCCCCTGTGCCAACTCCCAGCCCCGTAGCTCAAATTTTGCAAAAATCGATAAAATCGATATCGATCGATGACGAAAAGTAGCCTATGACACCCGCCGGGGCCCGTAGTGTATGTGTGCCAAGTTTGGTCCAGATCGGTTCAGAAATGGAATTTTCTGTTCGGAACATACGTACAGACATACAGACAGACATACAGACAGACAGACAGACAGACAGACAGACAAACGACATTCAGCTTTATATATAAGATGGCCCGAGAATTGCTCTATTTTTGCCGCGCTTAACCCTTCCAAAAACTTTAAAGTGAAATCTCTGGAAATTAGTCGAACTTTGAGCAAATAAAAGAGCGGGTGAGGCATTTTAACAATATCTACAAAAGCACACAGAATTGTGTTTTGAAAATGTAACTACAAGAAACAAGGAAAAGCCGCATCGAATGCATGTTGGAACTCACTCAGGTCTTCATTGTGCTTGGTCTTATAGTGGTCTGAAAAAACCGACAAAACCTTCGGGACAACCTAATAGTAAAATGAGGGTTTTAACACACGAATGATTAGGGGCATTCAAATGTTCCGAAACTTCGAAAAACTGTAGAATTTTCTAGAAGGTCTAGAGAAATAGATGAATGTAGGAAATATCGAAGAACCTTCTAAGGTGTAAAAGCGCTTTGCCTGAGTTGTCAAAAGATTTTAAAATAGAAATTAGATAGGTTTTCGGTATCTATAATACCTCGGATATTCCAAAATTTTAAAAAATTTATCAGTGTTTTTATATTGAGCCATCGCCAACCTCGCTTGCGGATTTTCCAGTCTATCCATTTTGATGCGTGCTGCAAGGGATTTCAGAAAATTGTGGAATTAAGGGAAGGGGTGTAGAGGGATTGATAGTGTGAAACAAGTTTTAGAACCATGTTTCAATAATAAGGCGTTCGAAGTGTTTCTGCTTCGCGACTTTGTAACAACGTTTTTTGAGTTTTATGATGCAGCAAAATGACCGATGTCAATACTTTTGACATGCTCCATTTTCGGATGAAGTGCCAGCTTTATGGCATGTAGATGAGACGAAATGTGCTGAAAAGTTTATTAGTCATTGTTTGATCGCATATTGCAACGAAGGAATACAATGCCAACCCGAAGTTTGATATGAGATCACATGAGGTAAATATGAAAGTCAGATGCAGTTTGATACACGTATTACACACTAAAGACGCTATATGATACAGAGTGGGAGACTGCTGTATGATACAAACAAGGGCTCAGTACGGAGTTTGCAAGGTACACGTACTTACTGTTCATCTTGCAAGAGATGCACGATTTGTTGATGTGTAAGTTTAGGCTTAAGGCGTATCGTATTCCACGGCTCTATTGTTGGCAATGGAAAGTGACGAGTAAGTGGATCAGCTTCTAGTGACTCTAAGTGCAACGGCATTCCGTTCGCTCTGGCTCCCGCCTGACTTTCCTACAAGCATAAATATACAGGAGTCTTTCGCAAGCTATGCATACGATCCAACATACCACTGCGTAAATTTCATCGCCTACGACTGCTATGCAGCAACCGTAAGATGACCGCTTTCCTCAGGATGGCGCGCTGACTGTTACACCAACTGGTTTGATTTGTAGATACCCACCTGTACAGGTTGTGCATGGCATCTACGTAGAAAATTGTTTTGCTGTCGAACTGTCTCGACTTTTGCCGATCCACCCGTATAAGATTTGATATGAGAAGCTGTAAGTGGCGGCTCGGATCCAAGGGCCAGACCGCCTATCAAGGTTGGGAATTGAGATAGCGGAAACAGCTGATTTACGGACGACATGCACGCTTCTACGTATAGCTATTGTTATCGAGTCATTCAACACGGCTGCATTGCTGCGCAAGCTTCTGATTTCTGTCTTTTGAAATAAAACTTTAAATTATAGTCTCTAATCTTTTCGACTGCCTCCTGTTAATCGTTAATGACACTTTGCTGTACTGACTTCTATCACCAATACTGCTGCCCATCGGATGTTGTTCAAACTGTTCAAGTGGTAAAGGCGACGACGCTTGTGGCTCCAGCGTTCCTATGTCACTTTTTCCATGACAATCTCCTCCGAAGTTAAGCGCCAACTTTAGTCGTACCTACATGCATAGTGTGAGATAAAATTGATTTTTCTGACACTATTGTCTTACCCGCTTTCACTAGGGACGACTCTCGGCCGCTTTCTTGGCGTTTCCTCAACTTCCATTCGAGGTTGTAATCGTCGTCGAATCATTTTTGAAATTTGGAGAAATAAACAACTGTTTAGTTTTTGCAACGCTTTATGCAGATATGGATGTAAAAAATGTATGGAAAAGTACCAGAACAAGAAAAAGGCTCGACACTATCGCTTCCGCCATTTTCTTCATTTTCGTCGTTTCCATCACCTTCTCCTTCCTCGTCATCATCATCTTCTTTTCCTCTTCCACCTTCGGTTACACTTTTGTCGACTGGTATCTCATCGTAGTCATCCTTTCTAAATCCTCTTCTTCTAGATCGGCTAAGTGTTTACGTCGTTCCAAACTGAATTAATCGATCAACACAGTGTGACAATAACGAAGAGCTTGTAAAATTGTTTACTTTGCAAGCTTGAACATCCTTTTCACTTCCCGCACTCGTTCGAGGTTCCTGGCCGCTTCCTCCTCTCCTAATAAGCGCACCTTTATATATCCATAAGCGCAACTTTGCTTGTTTTGTGTAACGTAGTTTGCTGCCTGCATTTCTTGTGTGTGACCTATTGAAAAATAGATCACTGAATGCAATGCAACTTGTGCTAGCAAAGCGCAACTTTCACGTATCGTCCTTTCACCCCATTGTAGCGAGCACGCAGCCTCAGACGCCCTCAAGCGTCGCGGTTTTGACCGCGGCGCGGGGTCGATACGGCCGATCAGCTGTTCATCCGTCCGCTGCAATCGGTGAGTTTTTGATTATTTCTTCATCTTTTTGCTTGCAGGTTGCAGAAAAAGGATGGAAGGTGAGTCGCAAAGTCTTTTAAGTTTATTCATAAGTGCACTGTTTGCTGAAAGAGCTGAGCATCCAATCTATGTCCAATCTAATCGCGATGTCAGCCAGTTTTTTGAGTTTTTCATGCATGTAATCAAGATTTTCGAGACAATACACTTATGAATAAACTTAAAAGAATTTCTTGATTCATCTTCCATCCTTTTTTGCAACTTGCAAGCAAAAAGGTAAAGAAATAACAAAAAACTCACCGATTCTTGTGGCAGCGGACGGATGAACAGCTGATCGACCGTATCGACCCTGCGCCGCGGTCAAAACCGCGGCGCTTGAGGGCGTCTGAGGCTGCGTGCCCGCTACAACGGGGTGAAAGGACGATACCTGCCATGTTTGCACAGTCTTTATCTGATCCTAGCAACTTGTCCAACTTTCGTTGAAAAGCGTCATCGTATTGCATGTCTGCTACAGCGTGCCTCGACTGAAACACCAAATAATTTAGACCTTAGGGAGGCAATCGTTTGAAAAACGTACCACGTTACAAGAGAGATTTAAATTTCCAGATCCACTATCACTGTTTCATTACATGCGGGACATGCGGGACAGTCACTTGGTGAACGCGTTTTCCTCCATACTGAAGGAAAAAGGGAGCAAGAGGTTCTTTCATTCCTTGGAGCTTATTCTTCGCAATCACACTATATCATGCAAAACTTTGATAATAAGAGAAGACGCGTGGCTTATGTCTTACAAATCTCGCATTTTGTGACATTTTTTCGATTTTGCATCAAGCACGAAATACTGACCATAAAATGGCTGCTTATATTGTGCAGCCTTAGTTCCTCCCTTTGCCAGAGAATAGCTGCCGATCTAAAATGCCTTTTGACTATGAAATACAGCAAACAGTATAAGCTTTGCTTACCCATGATATTTCCTCCCCATTGCCATAAGGCAATGAGAAAGGTTGCAACCCTGTACGTTCTGCAGCAGAAATGGCCTCTTCTTGCGGAGATGGGTAAACACTACCGTACACCATTTTAAATACACGCTCATTCCTGCTTGTGTTGCAATGGATGATATAACACCAGAATGCTCTAAAATCAATGTTACAAAAGAATCAAGCACCACTATGCAAAAAAGTGCCGTAAGGTAAAACTCATAACATAGTTATACTGGGCTGGTTGCAATACACCTTTCGCTCAGAAATCTTTATCGCTCACTTGTTTCAAGCCCTTGCTCGACAGACCTACTGAACGCATTAAGAGCTTAAATTATGTTTTTTCGACAATCCACACAGATATCTTCTGCCTTCAAACGCCTCATATACGCGTGTACAATTTCGCACGAATAAATCGCGTTGTGATTGTTACTGTTTCGTTTACTCTGTAGTTCAAAAGCTACAAGATTTTTGATTGTAATGTAGCACATGACATACCGTTGTCGCACCCTCACTACAAGCATAGATCGATTTGTACACAATATGTAGCCCCATGTTCCGTTCTTCAGTGGATTGCCTTTTCTCGCAGATGTATCTGGCTAAACAGCAGTTGGAGTAAACATGTTAAACGGTGTTTACGTCGCGAAAACACATAATATCTTGATACCTTAACAACTCTTCAAAAGTGCACTCTTCAAATTCTTTCACTGCCCTCCCATCCAGCTGAGGATAGTATTTTATTCCAGCATCCACATTCCCTTGCCAACCTTCAATGTACAATACATTCCTCCTTTCTATCCAATTTTGGATTTTTGGCATTAATCCAAAACGCCTCCAAAGTTTTGCGGGCGAGGATATCGGGCTCATACGACAAGATTCTTACTGCAACTTGCATTTGTAATGATGGTGTTTCCCCAACGGCGTAGGTGCTCTTAACCTTACCATTCCATCCATATGTTCTTTTACGCGACAACAAAGAGGGCGCCCTGTTTCGCCGATGTATGTATCCCCGCATGAAAAAAATGTTATAAGATAAATAACCTCGGACTGTACACAATCACCCTCTTTACCAAATGAGCAGACACACAATTAGGAGTGGAGCAAGTACGGTCATAAGCGCGGTTTCGAACAAGTTGTGTTTTAGATTAGCTGGAGGGATATCGACCACTCTTATCATGCCTTGCAAACCCGCCTGATGTAAGCATCGCCGCACTGCACTGCTCAACTCATCGAAGATGAAAGGCAGGCAGAAGGGATCTCAACGGTACTGCTTGAACTACGAGCTCTACGTTGGCGTGAGCCGCGCGCTCCAAGAGTTGCTCACGCTCAGCATAGCCGTTGGACGCCGCAATTTCCCGAGCCAAGGCGACGAAACAGAGCGTTCGTCGCCGCCGGAGGATACGCGAATAGCTGTTTTACGACAGGTTGAAGAACTGCAAACTCAATCCATTATCATCCGTTTTTTTTATACAGCATCCTCTTTATTCGGGTAGCTATCACTGTGGTCCTCAGCAGAGGCTCCACATGTGTAAACTAAAATGTTCGTATAGCCTATAAAAGGCAAAAGTTACTTGTTCAAAAGCTTTCACCATTTCATCGCTAGAGTTCCGTTTTATTACAGCACAGTCATGTCGGTTGCGATCTAAAGCGCATGAGCCCTTTGTGATTTTGTTTTACAAAAGAGTGTCGACGATATTCCGGTGCAATCAGCATCGATATCTCCCGCTTCTGCCAGCATACTAACATTGCTGACTTTCATCGACAATGGTACGATATAATATGTGCCCACTTCATGAATTGCATACACTGCACCATTTTCACTAGACTTTCCTATGGCTACCACGCGCATCAAATGTCCCAGATCTTCTTTTGTATGTTGGTATCAGACCTAAAAATGTGCGCTTAATATTTCGTTTTCACTTAAAGGCAGTGGATCGGCAAAATCCAACAACTTAGGATTTTAATGCCGTAGGTTCCTTATCGCCCAAGTATGAAAACAGTTCAATCTCGGTTGCACAGCATGCTTTCCCTGCCGAGAAAATCGCTCTCAAACTTACACGCGCAGGCCAATCTTACACGCATCAGGACGAGTTGGCAATCTCCTTCTGAACATTGGAGGCTGCCCGCGGCAACGCTATAACCATTGGGTCCTGCAACGATTTAGCGTCACCGGCCTTGCTCCACTCGTCCAATTTTAAACGGAAGGGCATTGGAAAACGCTTATTTTCGCCGTTTTCAAGCTTTCAAAAGTGGATTTTCGGGATCAGCCATTGGCGTACCGAGGGGGTAAATTTTTGAAAGTTTCTTAAATGTGTTATAAAAATGTGCAGAGGACTTGTTTACACTTGTAAATAATTAAAATAATTTTTAAAAATTTTTAAAAATTCAAAACAGCTTTGTAAAAAAAATTTTTTCGGGGGCGTGGCTGCTGCCACGCCCCTTTCTCTGAAATTTTGGGGTCATGGGCCCGAAAGAATTTTGGGAAATATCCCAAAAAATTTTCGGAGTGCGTGGCTGCCGCCACGCACTTCATCGAAAAAAATTTTTTGTTGCCCCCCCCCCCGAGCCGAAATCCTGGGTACGCCACTGGGATCAACGTATTGTAACCCCGGGTAAACGCAAATTTGACTAGGTTGAAATTTGCCGAGCCACTGCCTTTAAGTCTGACGATTAATACTTGCACATTACGTGCTTGTTCATAGAAAGTACAGTGGCTTTCAAGCTTTGACCAGAACCAAAGTATCTCTTTCTCAACATCGACGCGTTGAAACGTTTTCACCCATAAGCTTTGCGATGGCGGACAAAAAGTTGTTCTCACCCTGTGAGAGCACTCTCCACAGCCAAGGTGGGCTGGGTCCTGACATGTGAGAACATGAAGTTGAACCGATTTCTAGAGAAAAATGGCTATAATGATTTCTGCCTTGCATACTTTTGATGATATACGTTCGTGAATATATAAGACTTCTTATTCAATTTCGGCTTACATACTAGTCTTTTGTTAATAGAGTGATCTTGGTAAACTAATGAGGAAGGGAATGCTCCATTATAAACTTTCACAGTTCAAAGCAGTCTTGAAGAACTAACCTCGAGTCATTCGTAACTTAATGTGTGAGATTGCACACTAAGCCCTGTTAGCGACGGCACTCGTACTGGTAACTTTCCAGTGAAACATTTTTTAGCCCAGCAAAATGTGGAAATAAGTTCTATTGACTAACATGTAACCAATAAAAACAAAAGAGACAAGGAAACAAGCAGAAATCACTAAAAATGAGCAGGCTTTAGTTTTGCTGTTCGCCACTTAACGTGTTTAGTGTGCACTACGCATATTAAGTTACGAATGACTCGACGATATCTACTTTCTCCATGAATTTGTAGTAGGATGTTTTGATATGTCATTGTTACTAATAGTTTTGGTTCACTGTCATTCGAATATGTTCCTTTTTGTTGATATTGCTGTTTTGTCAACATAGGGTAACCTATGTAATAAATAATAATAATAATAATAGTCTGCAGTTCCAATATCTCTACCAAATTGTGTAACTTTGTTCTAATCGCTAGAAGATTCTCTGCTATTTTCTGAAAAATATGCATTTGGCTACGGTAGCAAGAAAATGAACCAGATCACGTACACTTTGTTGCTGTTCCTCCTGTGCAAACCTGCAGTAGTGTGCAATAGGCTTGACACCCTATCATACACGAATTTTCCTAATGCAATGCCTACTCCAAAGGCAATGAGCAGGCTCAGCAGAAGTGGCGCTTCCACATGGATATCGTTTTTTGAGTAAAAAGCAAGAAATCGTAAAGTTCCCAGGGGTGTTTTCCTTGTCTGACAAAATATTGGCCAGCACAATCCTTACTCTAAACCCGGGTTCCTTTTTCGAATTTTCAACGAAATCGACGGTGGTATTGAAATTACGTCATTTCGGGTAAAACACAACTTTTTGTAGATCAACTAAATCAAAACGATTTTCGCCGTTTCATTGAAAAGATCGTGGAAAGTCATTAACAGCCAAAAGATTCTACGTGAAAATCTCTTTCTAATGGTGTTTACACCAATACTATTCGTCAAGTATTAGTGGAAATATGGGGTTCTGAAGGAGCCAACTCTTCAAATATGGAGAGCAGTTTCATGTGCAAGCACTGCAGTTAATCAATTGCTGCAACGAGAAATCCACCAACTGAACTGAACGAGCATTGGAAATGGAAAAGCCTGCAAGCCGTCTATTACTAAAGATATGATGATCAAAACTTGCGCAGCGTTTCCTACGCAGATTTTCTTACTGTACACCAAAACTCATCCCAATTGTCTGAGCGATCGCTCCGATTTTTACTGCGAGTCTCAGGTTTTTTATGGCTCTACACAAATTCAAGATTTGAGTAATTATTTTCTACCGTTCGTGAATATGCAATAGATGAATTACCAGTAAGCCGCTAAGGTTTCATTATAAAAAGCATGAATTGCTCTTCCAAACAAAAATAAGAGCAATCAAATCGACTGGGAAAATCAGAAGTCACGTATCTTTGAAAAGGGTGCGATAGAACTTCTGGACCAACCTAGTACTTTGCAGACAACTCTTTAAAAAGGCAGTGTCTGTAAACTCTGAGGGAGGAGCAAAAACGCAAGTGCTCGGAAAGCTGCCACTTGGCAGCTTTCCTTGAATGAGGATGGCACAAAGGACAAAAAAGAGTTTTCGGGATGGGTTGAGATAGGGTTTGAGCCAATTAATACAATATCATCGAGGTCACGGCACGCGTGTGGGCTGCGCCGGTGTGCCGTGCAGTATAGAGCGACGAAACTGCTAGGAAATAGATAGAAGCCGAAATATGTAGATGTAGCTTTTCGTTTGATCTTCAAAATGGTAGCACGGTTCACAGTGCGAAATACATATTAGAGGAACCTAGGAGCTTCGCTCTAATATGAACCGAGGTTTGCCACTCAACTGAAAATTAGGTTGGACTGACGCCAATTTGCGCGCCATCAGTGAAAAGCGCGAAGCTGCGAAATTCGTTTCGTCTCTCGACTCTGCAAATCTTATCATTGCGAAGTTTGGGGAGTTCAGCTTGTTTCGCTTGAATTATCACATCGCAAACATTAAATCAAGCTTTTCAGCATGTCCGGGTTTGTTCGGACAAGAGAAGCTGCCGAAGTTTTCTCAAAATTGCTTAGCTGTGCAAAATGGTAATCAAAATTCTTATTTTCATCATCTTACATATCCATTATTTCTATAGTGGACAAGAATCAGACAATCTGCAAACAATGGGAACCGCATGCAAGCATGCATTTTGTTGGTAAGCAAGGTTTGATCTGGTTTGTGCTTAATTCGTTTTCTCTTCAGGGATTGTATTAATCTGTATTCATCAGCAAATACTTTCATTCTCTGTCCAAGATGTTCTTGTCCCTTAGAAGTGAGTAGACCAAAAGCTGCCACCGTCTTCAATAATCTAGCACAACATATCAACGAGTTCAAGCTGCTGCTCGATGAGGTGGGTTCGACTGTCATGATCTTTTTCTCTCATTTGATCTGACATAAAAAAACATTCTGCTTTTTTCAGTATGAAAAATGTCTCCGAAATGAAGGAGCTGCGGCAGCGACGACAATCGCGCAAACTCAAATGCTTCTGCAAGCTCACGATGTAAATGCTGCAATTACAGTAAGCAAGGAGGCTAGAAAAGAGTACGTTGCGCTCTTTCTTATGTATGAAATACACACAATACATACACTGTTGCTTCGTGAAGAATCAGCAGTCGTTCAAAATCAAAGAGATTAGATTTTGCAAAATATGAATGTATTTCTAGTCCAATTATAACGTTTGTAGGTTTGTCATGACTTCGAAATCAATCGTTTATTTATTTTCATTCGTACGAAATTTATTCGTATTTTTTTACTGCAGTAAATCATGAGAGTCAAAGGCAGATTACTTAGTAAAAGTTGTTTTTTTTTCAGCATCTGTAAATGTATTACCCTATTTACAGAGGCTTTAAAGGCAGTAAATCGCCAAAATGGACCCATGTCGGATTTTTTTAGTGTCACGTGGTAGACCCACAAATACATCGTAGCCCCAACCCCACCCTACGATTGATGCGCTAACCCCTGCAAGAGAGCTTCAAACTCCACAGCCCCGCCCACTTTCACTGAGTGGGCGTTTTTGGTGGAATTTTGAAGCGCCTTTTCAGAACTAGCGCATGAATTGGAGGGTGGGTTTAGGCTACGGAGTACCTGGGGGTCTACTAGCTGGGACTACCAGAACCGACGAGGGTCCATTTTGCCGACAACTGCCTTTGAATCTGATCTGACAAGTGTCACGGTCGGTGCGGTTAGGGTCCTCGCGTTTCCTTGGGTCTATAGACGCGTTCGCGAAACTGCCTCGGGGCATCTTTCCAAGATCCAGCCATTGATGTTCAAAGATGGTAATAACGCACCTCTAGCGTGAGAAAATACGTATTCGCTGAGGGCGAACGCGGCTAGAGACCAAGACGAGGCGGCTCACGAGGACCCGAGCCGCGCCGACCGTGACACTCATATTGAAAGCTTCTGTGGTTGAGGTCAAACCTGTCGCCTGTTTTAGAGTCTGCAAGATTTTTTTGCAGAACACTTCAAATTCAAAATCTTCATTTAGAGCTGTCGATGAGTTTATCAGTACTCAGCGCATTGTCGACGTGGATGAAAAAGAGTCTAAAGCAAGGTGAGCTTATTCGTTTTACTCAAAGTCAAGCAGATTTCTCTTTACAGCTCACCAGCTAGTGATTTCTCCGAGGAACTTAACGTTACTCCACCACCTACAAATACAACTCTTTTGAATGGTGGCATTTCTGAAGAGAAGATTGGTGTTCCTAGAGCATGTTCTCCTGCCAAAATCACTGACGGAGATTTCTCAGATGATGATGTCACAGTGACTCCAGTGTATGATTCGTTGCTCTGACCGGTCCTGTTTCTACACACTTCTGTTCCTTCCAGCGAAGATGGCATTATCAGCGACAGCGTACCTCACTTCGGTCGGCCGATGATGACATCTACACAGCGACCAGGGCTTTTTCTCTCTCAGGCTGTGCATGCTCGAAATGAGTTGTTCCAGCATGAGTCTCCGCCAAAAGCTGATGAGGTGACTGATGCTCGGTTAGGTTTTTTCTACTTGGAATTGGATTCAGATTTTTGCAGAAGCCAAAGGTCTATCATGAAGAGATAACCTACAACTTCTTCTCAACCAAGCCGGCTAAAACTTTCGACAAGAGAGGGGACAAAAAAGTAAGCCTAGTGATTCTGAAAAATTACTCTTGCAACATTTCTAGACCGATGCACCTTGGCTTGATCTTCCACCGAAGAAGAGAAAGAGTAAAGTAAAAGTTGAAACACCAGAACAAGCAGCATATGTGCTTCCGTCGACTCCATCGGACGACAAGAACTATAAAACACCGAGAAGAGGGCCCAGAGTGGAAGTAAGTACATATTCTGCTTGTGGTGCGCGCCCGGATATACTATACGCAGGCTTCTCCCTCGCGTCCCCGCAGTCGGTCCTCGTTTTCTGGTGGAATACTTCATCCACATGCCGATGATCCTGTAATGGAAGCCGTCCTCAACGGTGACTTGGATGAGGTTAACAGGGCAATCGAAGTAAGTCTTCTGGAATACCCTTTGCCATACAAGAAAATTTGTTTTTCGTATTGATGCTCTCTTATCGTGACTCTTGGAAAGAACTTCACAAGTTAGAAATTATATGGTTCCAACGTTCCTTGTGATTGCATGTAATCTTCACCTCCATGTAATTCTTACCGCCTTTTTTTTTTTGAAGTGTGTATATGCTATAGTAAACTGAGACCGTTTTGTCCTAGAATGGTCACGATGTCAATCAGCGCGATCTCGAAAAGCGAACCCCGCTGTTCATCGCTGTCGGCATGAAAAGGCTAGACATCTGCCGAGCACTGGTCGAGCGCGGAGGAGCAATCATCAATGCTAACTGTAGGAATTTACTCAGCAGAGAAACTGGGCAGAGGTCATGATGTGACTTTCAGGCGGCTCCGAATGCAACACTGCTCTACATATCGCTGTCTCTCAAGAAAGCGAGGAGATTGTGAAGTATCTGCTATCCAAGGGTGCAAGCAAAACGGTATGTGTTCGTGATATTTCTTCAGCATGACAATATCTGGACATCATTCAGATCCGAAACATTAGACAGCAGACCCCATCGCAGCTGGCACAATCTCGCTCGCCATTGAGATCGCTCGTGGAGAAGTACCGAAGTCATCCGAGGCAGCTTGGTAAGCATTTCCTTTTTATCTCTTTTTCTGTCATTGTTGATCAACCACAACATGATTCTTCTAAATTCTAGTGGTTCCACGTCTTCCTGACGTTCACATCGTGTGCTTCTCGAAAAAGGTGAAAGCAAGTCTCACCTTTGCTGAGCAAGCAGCTTTAGAGAGGATTATGACGGTAGGTTCATTCCGGAATTTTGTCAAATATAATGTGATTGTTTATTATAAGGAGTAGGTAAATTTTCAATGCAAAGGCTTTACTTATGTTTTCCAGTACCTTTGAAATTCAGGTAGTGCCAATCTGTGATGAAGAAACGACTCACTATGTCGTCGCACTTGACACTGAAGGAGTGGCTGCAGTTGATGATGATTTATTGAAGGCAATGTTACAGTTCGTTACCATCAGCTCCTTATTCTGTTCATTTTTGTCATGACAGTGGATAAATTGCATACCTTATTTCTAGAAACACCCGTATCATGAGTGTAGCTTGGCTCCATGAATGTATGCAAGAAAACAAGGCTGTGCCGCATTTGCAGTAAGTTTTTGGCACATGGGTAGAATATTAGAGCAATGTTTGCATTTCAGTTACGAGGTTTCAAAACTAAGATACATGGAGAATGACGTGGTCGTAAATTCACTGGAGCGTTGCAGAAAGAGCAAAGAGAAGATGGTGAGTAGTTTGAACTTGGAAAGCTTAGAAAACTCGCACAGCAACCAAAAGCCTGTTGTTTTTTAGGAACCTGCGCTGTTTCATGGCTGCGTTTTCTACCTGCTGCTGAATAAGTATACTGGAATCCGTGAGTGCTTTTCTTCTCAGCTCAAGATATGATAAATTTATCACTCATTCGCTCAGAACGGCGGTTCTGTTAGCCCAAGTTTAGATTGTAATTCTATAGTTATGTCGTGCTCGGCAAGTGTAGTAGAATAAAGTTTTTGGAGTGAGTTAGGGTAGGGGTTTTTCTTGTGAAAGCAGTATGTTTCCATGAATAAAGAAAATCACGCTTTTTTCCAAATGTGATTATTTTGCTCTGCACATATTGAAATGATTTTTCTTATTGTTTCAATTCTTAACAATTCTTGAATCTAGGTTTGCTTTCATTTCGCCACTTTTCCATCGTGAATTATGCTGCTACTTTGCCAAATTTACCTTTTTAAAAGTGGTTCTCCATAAGGACTATGTAGCCATCATTTAAATTTGCTATCTGTGTATTTCAGACAGTCGCCGACTACTTCCTGATCTGGTAAGGCTTGGTGGAGGAGAAATAGCTGTCTCAGAGCCCCACTACAAAAACAATGCTCCTGCTCCGTTCCATGCGCCAAATCTGTCGTCTCCCATTTTTGTCGTATATGATGTAACAATGACGAGCAATGTAGGTTTTGTTAAAGGTTTTGAAGTTATCCTCTATGTCATTTCATTGAAGATCCCGGAGAAGTTCCATCATCCAGACAAGTACAATCTTGTCACTGCGCAGTGGATAATCGAATCTGTCATAGAATATGACATCAAACCGATAGCATGAATGCCTTGGACATCTGATGCTGCTTCTATTTCCTTATCAGAATGATCTCTCCTGCCACAAGTGCACTTTGTGTTTTTGCTAGAAAGAGGATGAATAGGACGTGTAGTGCATTGACAAGGATGTAAATGTCTATGTGTTTTCAAGAATTGTACATATATCATGACAAAGCGATGGAAGCTGTTTGTTCCTTTAGGAAAGTGAGTGGAAATTTCTCCAAAAATAAACATATTTTGACTTAATTATTCATATCACGAAAGGCCTATAAGTTTGATCTTTCTTATTCCAGAGTATCCGTCAGTCTCAATATTCTGATTTTGTTGCCTTCTTATCTATTTTTGCGTAGATCAGACAATACACCTTAGAACACCGACTTTTATTACCCCACATTTCCATATCCCTCGTGCCTTGCCCCTGACTAGTGCTATTCTTGCAAACAGGAAATGAGTTTGTGTTATGAAAGGTTAGCAAACCGATTATTTTGGTCCCCTGTTTACCTGAAGAGGCTGTGCACTTTTATAAACGGGTATGGGTATACGCGAATCTATGTGCGTTTGGCAATTTCCCACGACAAGAACCTTAGGAAGTGCTCTTTTTCAGTTGCTTATGGGTTGCTGGGCCAAACAGTAGATGTGAACAAAGATTAATTTGTGTATCTGTATACACTCTTTTTATCAAAGAATGAAAATCCGCATTTTACAGTTGAGTTGTCTTTAAGATACAGTCACAACGATTTATTGCAAGACATGATTAGATAAGTAACAGCACTAGAAATTGACGTTCTATGAAACGTTATGAAGAGATCAGTGGTGGCCACGTATGCGAACTCGCTATTAGAATCCTTGCTCTCCTGCTCATCCAGCGTTAAGCTGCAAGAAAGAAAAGTTAGGGGGAGAATTTGCATGATATTTTGCTGCAATTTAATGACAGTGTACAAATTCTCTATTTTGATTTTAAAAGTAGTTTTAATGTGTTTGAGCTCATGAAGTGCACGTCATCGCGTCTAAGAGAGAGATTTTGTAATATTGAGAGACGCAGGCGGTTAGAGTGAGAGTAGGACAGACGCAGAGTATACGCAGCTACGTCCATTGTATGCATGCATTTCGTTTGTTTTTCGCATTATTTGCAAAACAGAACCAAGAATAATTTAAGGACTCGGTTAAAAAAACTAAGCGCCTTAGCACTGATGTTCTTCTGTTTTTATTTTCATAAACAAGAACAAAGAAAAATTGGGGCTCACCTGTATTTGCTTAGGCTGTGCCATCAAGCGGTCGGTCTTCAAATGGTGACTCAGTTTCGTCATCATTCAACCATTGTGGGTATTCCTCCATATAATCCCGTTTTGGATTGAAGAACATTCTGGCACCTCCACGCTTGTCATAGAAGTTGAAAGCACGTCCACCTCCTCTCTTGTCTTGATCGAAGAATGCACGAGCTCCTCCACGTTCTTCAATCGGTATAAAAGCACGACCACCGGCTCTTTTTAACGTCGAAAAGGCTCTGGCTCCTCCTCTTTTTTCATCTTCAAAAAACGCTCTACCGCCACCTCTTTTGTCATTTTCGAAGAAGGCTCTACCGCCACCTCTCTTCTCATCTTCGAAAAAAGCACGAGCTCCACCTCGTTCTTCTATCCCTGAGAATGCTCTTCCACCACCGCGCTTGTCATAAGGCACAAAAGCTCGTGCTCCACCTCGTTTCTCATCTTCAAAGAATGCCCTGGCTCCACCTCGTTCTTCTACTGGGATAAACGCACGAGCACCGCCTCGTTTCAGATCTGTGAATGCTCGTCCGCCTCCTTTTTTGTCTAATTGAAACAGTCTTCCTCCGCCTCGTTTATCGTTTTCGAAGAAGGCTCTGGCTCCACCTCGCTCTTCGACTGGTATGAATGCTCGTCCACCTGCTCGCTTTTCAACATCATCGGCTTGCGAGATCGCGACGGCTGGAAAGAAATGCTTTGAGAGAGCACAGGAAGAAAAGAATTGTGAGAAAGAACTGGAGTTTGTTTTCAGCCAATCACAATACAGGGCGTGGCCGAGTCTTATGATTGGTCAGTATTTCAAGAGTATTACGTTTTTTATTTGAAAGATTACTATGGACTTGAAATGTGAAACCAATCCAAGTTAGGGGCGTGCCGGAGCTTTGTGGATCAAGAAATCAATTTGGATTTTTTTGAATATTTGGCGAAGGAACGTTCAAACTGTTTTCCTTATCATAGAAGGCATACTCTAACCTATGATTATGAAATAGAATGGGGTCTGCTACCAGCCAGTCACAATCAAGAACGGGCCGCAAATTTATGATTGGTCGAAATTCTACTTTGATGCTCCTTTTGAAACTTTGGCTAGAAATGTAGGAACTTCGTCCTTGTGACTAGCTTCTAACTTGAAAATAAACTTTAAAATCGAATTGTGAGTAAAGAACTGGATTTGCTGCCAACCAATCACAGAAGGGCGTGGCCGGAAAAGGATGATTGATCGGAATCTTACTTTTTTCAATATTGCTTAAAAACGTTGAGACCAATTTCTTTCTGATCAATCTCGACTTAGAGGCATACTATAGACTTGAAATGCGAAAAAAGAACTCGGTTTTCTGCCAACCAATCACAGTCATCTAGGGCGTGGCCGGAGATGATTGGTCAAAACTCGATTTGAATTTTTCTCCATATTCTAAATGAGAAATCATAGTAACGTTGGGAGTTCTTTGTGACTAACTTCTAGGAGGCATATACTCGAAATGCGAAAACAGAACTGTAGTTCTGCCGACCAATCATAGTTCAGAGGTTTGCTCCGAAATTTGTGATTGGTCAAAAAATTCAATATGAATTTTTTTAGTATAGGACATAAAGATTGTTTTTTCATGAAGTTGGATGCACTCGCTCTCGAGAAAATTATGCCAGTAACTCAAAATCTGCAAAATGCTTCCGGTAAAAACTGAACTTCTAAGACTTTCGGAGGGACACTCCTACTGCAGCTGCGAGTGCGGCCAGGTAGGGTGAAGTCCACCCACACGACCCAGTAGGAGCGTCCGCCCAAAAGTTCTAGAAGTTCATTTTTCCCCGGAAGTAATTTGCGGATTGTCTGAGAAAGTAATGCGTATTTTCCCTCAAATTTCCATACAAAAAAATGTGCTGCTTTCTTATTCCTTTATAGTCCTTAGGGAGATTATGTGTTTATACTAGATTCATGATGGATTACAAAGTTTAGCCACGGCATCCTCCAATGAGACTGAAGTGTTTATTGATAGCAGCGCAAATCGATTTGTTTATCTGACGAAAAAGATGCGAAAACATCTCGGCTCGCGCGACAACGAACACATGTAATCGTCCCTTGGGGATAACTTGATAGACACCATTCGGAAAGGCCCCTCGTAGCAGAAGAAGCGTGAGTGCGTCATTTAGTACTGGCAATGATATGAGGCTTCAATATTGAATAGAACTCTGGAGAGCAACCATTTTAGGGGGAGGGGGGGGGGGGGGAAGAGAACATTTATACGATCGTCACAACACTTTAATTGACAATCAGTAGTTTGCCTTGTAAGAATCCTTTGTTTGCTACAAAAATAAATTTCTGGATCAAAAACCTGAGGGGTAACTGGTAGTATTTTAGCAGTTCAAAAGGGTTTTTTGAGCTCAAATGTGGGAGAGAAGCTTGCAGGAAAAGGAGAAAATAGCAAAGTGTAAATTTTTATAAATCCTTATTGCCACATCGTTTAACTGCTACTTAGCAAAACAGAGCAGATCAAATCGTATTTTCTGCAATAGCAAAAGTGTACAGGAAATTAGGGTCTGCTTTCGACCAGTCACAGCTTGGGGGCGTGGCTGGTGGCCTGTGATTAGTCAGTTCCAGCTTTGTTAGCGTAAGAACAATTCGACAATTGTATATTCATTCCTTATCAAGATTCGTTTCTGTTTTGTTTTGAAAGAGAATATCATGCTTCTGGTGAAAGCTATTTGAGGAGTGAAGGGGACGTTACTGTAAAATAATATGGAATTATGGAGCATCTATCCACTTCTTTAGCTCCTTTTCTCTCGTTGATGAAAAATTTTTTGTCAACTCAGACAGACGAAAATTTGCGATAGATAGTAATTAATTGAGCTAAATAGTTTTTATCTTCCTAGAACGTAAAAATCAACGGCTTGTGTTGCCTTTACAGTATAGCCATGGCTTGCAAGTAGGTGTTTTACATGGCGTTATTAAAATGTCTAATTATAGTTTTTATTTTCTTTGTTCTGAGTGAAAATTACTTGACTCAGAAAAACAACCAATTTTTCCAAAAACTCAGTCGTTTTCTAGAAATAAGAGTTAATCGTCTTTTCAAAAACTTGAAGCTTCTCTCAAAATTGCAGTTACTGAATTGCTCAATCAAGTACAGCTAAACCCTTTCAGCTTACTTTTTCCCTAATTGTGTTCTTCACCGTATTCACTTGCTTATCCTCAGTCCAGCGCCCCTCGGGGGAAATGTAATAAGCAAATCTATTACGAGTCTATTCTTGACGACGATTCGTTTCAGAAGGCTTTTGAGAAAAGTACATATAGCTTGCAAGAAAACTTTCTTGCTTTGAGCCGCTAAAGGACAAGAATCTTGCACAAGGGCAATCCGTGCTCGCAGCAGTCGGAGCATGCCCGTGAGCAGGACATAATTGAAAAGATGACGTTGTTTGCTAATTCACGAGTTTGGAAGGATTTTCTGGAGTACCGTAATCTCTAGTCCAAGAAAGATATGCTCTGTCACTGTGCTTTAAAGTTTGCAGAACACTAAATGATTTATAGTCTTTATGTGATTTGGGAAGTTCCATCGCAGCTTATTGAACAATTCATAAATTCTGTCATTAAAAAATCTGTAAATTACTGCAAAAAAATCAATAAGTAAAAAAGTTTTATCACCTGTTTGTTCTTCTAGAAACAAAATTTGCTTTATTGGCTATATAGAGTTATGCTTTTCTAGCCAGAACAAAACATTAAGTAGATTCTTCAACATTTATTTCGATATTCATGGCTTTCAGTAGGAACGTTCAATCACCACTATTCCTTAGAGGAAGACATATACCGTTTATTCCGAGTATTAACGCAAGTTTCAAGTCTAAGGACCAAGCCTAAAGAACCAAAATTTTGGTAACTTTTTGCCTTTATCGCTGCAATTCGCATAATAGAGAACCGGTGAAATAGTGGCATAGTGTCATAATCTTCCTTCTTACTATAATTTTGAGGATTTTTGATATGGCGAAGAAGAATTCCTGGCCACTGAATTCGAACCTGCCCCATGCTGCCTTGGAGCGGTTCAAACTTCTGTTTAAAGAGGTGGAATGGAAAGAAGAGAAGGATTTCCTATAAAGGGCTGTGAAGAAAGCTTGTCTTAGGGTTGCAGGGTCATTGATAAATTGAATATTGTCGCAGGGTCATTGATAAATTGAATATTGTCTTTTCCTCAGATCCCTTTTGAGAGGTCTACCATATGTGGAAGACTAGCTTTTTTTGTTCACCTCCAAATTATACAGGCAGAAGGATGCACTTTAGGACAGCATGTAATTGTCTGCACTGCGGTCGGTGGATATGAGAAGGTAGCGATTATGTTTTCTTGGCCCTAATAGGTACTTTCGGAGATTCTTCTCAGGCCACACCGAAGCTGTATCCCAAAATTCACATCATAGCATTGCAAATAACAACTAGATGTGCTGAAACATCTACCCACTCCCAGCAGCCCCTCTCGAGTGTTTCATTTCTATTCCGCGGAATACGATCAAATAAGAGTTCACTGACCATCTGTATTCTTAGAAAAGTTAAAGCCTGAGTTCAGATTTGCCGAGTCAAAGTAAGATACAATCAGTTTACTAGTACTAATAGTATGATCAATGATGTATGAGGGGGCTTAAAGTACTGATAAACATGAAACTGCGAAGCACAAGATACAAGACAAGCAAGTACATTTTGGGACGGCTTATCTAGTTTCTTCTAATCTAGGTCAAATCTTGTTTGATGTGAGAAAGGCCTAGATTTGAAAGAAGGCATTCGCTTTTCATCTAGTCATGGACAAAACGATCCAGAACTAAAGACAAAGGAAAATATCAAAATTCTTCTTACTTTGGCTCATTTTGGCACCGATCGTCCTTCTTGAATGAAATGATCTATAATCTTGATAAACTGTTTCTAAGTCTTTCATATTCTACTAAAAACCGTGTGGAAGTTCAAAAGTGGGGTGATCTTCCTAATGAAGTGACAAAAACCGAGGTGTAATTCTGCCGCTTTAAATGAAATCAGTGATTATTATAAATATAGTTAGCAAAGCAAAAGAATTGGTTTCTACTTCGTTTCAATTGGTCGCTGACCTCATTTATCAAGAATCACCTTGAATTTAATCCCTTCCCCCCCTCCCCTCCCCGTCACTGAAGTGCTCAAAGTTCTCCATCGTCATGCAATTCAGTTGGACAAAATTCGATTTTCGCCAAGGTAAAAGCGATTTGCATCATGTCCGAGTGCCCGACTAAGAAAAACTTCATCTAGAGCCTTGCTTGATGTTGTTTGCGGCACGGACTTATATGAATGGAAAATATCGCAAGAAAATCAGCAAAAGCTTTTTTATGGATAAAAATCAGCTGTTGAAATCCTCACTGCGCATTTGCAAAAGTAGCTCTTCAAATTCATTAGAGTTTATGTAGAAGGACTGGCTTATCTGTTCTAGATGCTTTAAAATAACATTCTGAGAAGTCTCAAGCTCCAGGATCCTTATGGATACGGTAATCATGATGTACAGTATCGCGCTATTTTGAAGAAATTGGTATAACTGGAGTTCAGTCATAGACGAGACTGAAAACTTTTTCGAGCAATCATAATTTGAGTAATTACTATTTTTTCAGGTATTTTTTCAGAATCTTGGAATGGAAAATACTTAGAAGAAGAGATTCCCATTACAGCTCGATGCGATGAACCAAAGATCTCATTCTTT